CTGCGTCCAAGATAATAAAGAACTTGCCTAAGAACTCCCATTGGAGTATTTCTCTTACTCTTTGAAAGTAGGCAGAAAATGATTGAAGTTTCTGAGAGACAAGTCTCTATTTTGGTTTAACATTAATCTGCAATGGAAGTAATCTGTCTGGTTAACTATAAAAAGATCAAGGATTTTTATTGGTTCATGCCAATGTAAGACAACACACTGTTTAAGCATTCAATTTCCGTTTCTGACATATTTTTAAATGCAGAAATTGCAACTCTATGCATCAAGAATTCCAGGCATCATATGCTCTCAAGTAAAGTAATTGACTTCAGGAATTATCAAGAAAACAAAAAACACATAATTTCCATAGAATTTTCCAAAATTCGACACAATTTGCCATCCTCTTGTACTTCCAAAATGGCAAAATCTCAAAAGTACCTTTGCACTGTCCTTGAATTATATTCAATTCTTTCTTCTTCGTCAAGATGGAGCTGCCCAAAAGAAGCATCAGTTCTTGGTTTAAATTTAATAGCAAGATCTTTTCTCAGCATGCAGAGAATGAAAAAATTCCTAGGGAAATAAAAACGTCAGAATTTGTTGCACAATTTTTAAAAAGGCTAGCCAAAACTGGTGAAAATTGTGGGTCCAAAAACTTTAAATTACGGTCACAACTCACTCTAATTTAGAGCGCCCTAATGATGACAGGCCAGTCATGATAAATTTAACAAAAATACTAAGATCCTAGCACTGCAGTAGTACCTATAGACACATCAGTGCACATCCAAAGGGGGGGTCAGGAGTTCAAGAATGAAGAAAAATATTAAACGTCATGGACAAAATGCTAGGGAAGCCAGAAAATGTAGATGCACGCATAAAATAAAGCCAGGAGAATAAATTCCGCAGACCCATTCAATCCACTTTTTTTCTTGCATCGTCCCCAGAGAAATTGGTGCATTCAAAGCAAGTCCAAAAAACAATTTTGACAAGTAGAAGCAAATTTCAAGCCAAGACCCCATACTTCCATCACTTCCGTTTCTTGAACTAAGATGTACTGTACTCCAAAAAATATTCCGAAAATTATCATCCATCAATTTTAGAAGTCATTTCTTATTACAGGAGAACCTTTATAAGTCGAACCTCCATAAGTCAAATACACACTTAGTCAAATTTTTTTCAGGTCCCCATCTGGATCCCCTTAGAAACAATACATTCAAAAGTTCTGTAAGTTAAAGGCTTTTCCCCTCAAACCTCCATAAGTCGAATTTTCTGTGACCTGTTGACCATTATTTTCTTGACCCGAGAAAGAAAAAAAGCAATGAAAACAGAAATGTATGTGCTTTAAAGGAAGTGAGAGACTTGATTGGGCAAATGAACCCCAGTCTCCAAGTTCAGCATCCTTTCAACTCATTTAAAAAGCCATTTAAGCCACTGAATATCACCATTTATGATTTTTCCAAGTTTCCGACAAAAAAGGGCTTTGTATTGTAGGTAGCTCAAACCTCCATTAGTCAAAACCTCTCTAAGTTGATTTTTTGCTGGTCCCTTGAAATTTGACTTAAGAGAGGTTTGACTCTATAATAAAAATACAAGAGTATAAGAGTACTAAAATTCTTCAAAATAATTTGTCCTGAACTGGAAAAATAACATTTTTCAGGCAAGGGAAAATTTCGCAGTCCTCTTCCATACTCTTGTATTTTTCTATACTGCCTCGACGAAATTGGCTCATTCAAGGCAAGTCCCAAAATTTATGTTGATCTGTAAAAGTGCATCCCAGCTTAGACATAACAATAACGTCACTTCCTGGTCTCGCGTCAACATGTAGTCCAGAGTATACAGCAATAATCCCTCTATATTTAACTTTTACAACCCATTTTTGTCTCGTAATGAAAAGCTGGAATTGCTCCTCAAAATAATTTTTCCTGAAACCATTCTTCCTTCACGCCTACCGTATTTACTCCCAGGGCCGGATTAAGGTGGGTGCTATTGATGCTGCAGCATTAGGCCCACAGGAAAAATAGGCCCCTGGAGAATTTGAAAAAAATTTCTCAATTTGGGAAATCCAAATTTTTTTCAATTATGAAAATCTGGCAAAAACAGGAGAGAGGCAAAAGTTTTTATGATGAAAAAAATCAGGCACCAATAAATCAATTTCCGCACTCTGCACATACAGTATAAAAACCATTGAAGAGGAAACCAGATGTAGGACATGAAAATTGGATGAGAGCCCACAATCATTTCTGCATTGAAAAAGGAAATCACGGCCAATATGGCCAGAAACAGGAAGATGCAGTGACAAGGAATCATAGCCAGGAGAAAATTCAATCAAAGATTTCAATTCATCAATGCCACGCTGCCTGACAGGATAAGATTTTCACTGCTTTTCCCACTCAAAAAGTCTTTGGTTGCCTCAACATTCTTCTGAAGTGATTTCTTGCTGGTGTTCAAAAAATTATGCTTTTTATTGCAAAGGAGAATTAGGCCCATTTTTTGTGCAGCATCAGGCCAAAATGTGGTTTAATCCGGCCCTGCACACAGTCGTAGTGTTTCACTTTCTAAAAATCTTAATTGTGATGGGCCACGGGGAGAAGGACGGACACGAGCTATCATAGTGCTGTCCGAGACAGCTGTGTTCCATTTCCAATCATCGCAGTAGTGTCAAGTAATATTATTCAAAATGATTTCGGTCGTGTGTTGGAATTCGTTAGTGATTATACGAGAAATGTCCCAAGTCAGCTGACGCATGGAAAATTATAGCTGTTCGCGAAACGAATATACAGTCAATATATATGACTCGAATATCTAAAAAAGACAGTTTGAAATGTTTGTCCACGTTATCGAGTGCTGAAGGTCATTTGAGATAAGTGACAAGGAATCATAGCCAGGAGAAAATTCAATCAAAGATTTCAATTCCAACACCACGCTGCCTGACAGGATAAAATTTTCACTGCTGTTCCCACTCAAAAAGCCTTTGGTGGCCTCAACATTTTTCTGAAGTGATTTCTTGCTGCTGTTCAAAAAATTATGCTTTTTTATTGCAAAGGAGAATTAGGCCCATTTTTTGTGCAGCATCAGGCCAAAATGTGGTTTAATCCGGCCCTTTTTACTCCAGTACCCCGCGCCTCGAATTTTTCGATCTAAAATGTGTATAGAAATGTAACCCAGAGCAAGAAGCGCACCCCATATTTAGATACTGAACTTTAAAATACTGCACAGCGGAAACACTTTACAATGAATAATTGCTTACAACGAAGTCGTTTCTTTGGTCTCTGTCCAATAGACACAAAAGTTACTTTACAGCGATTTTTTTGCTACAAAAAGGTTCAAGTATTTTACCGGTCCCAATAGCTTTGTTGTACAGTATCGGTATTTTACTGTATTTTGAATATAAAATGCATCATAATTGAAATTTAGATTGGAATTGTAGTCAAATTGAATGTTAATTTGTTCATCATTTCCTTTTTAGATTGTCTGTGGAATTGGATAAAGATCTCCGGTTAGAATCAAGTATGAGGTGCAATAAAGCTTTACATTTTTTTTTACATTTCATGCAAAATCCTGAAGGGCACCTTGTTTGTCTCCTCAATTTAGAAAAAAAAGGTGCGCGTGGTCTTCCAATGAATAAGGGCAATTTTCTCAGGGCAAAATGAACATTAACGAATAAAATTTATCTTAGACAACTTTTCAATGAAATAGTTTCAGCACTAATTGATAAATCATGGAACATCCCAACCACAAAGTTTTGTTGGGGAAAGGTGCACAATTGCAAAAAAAACCTCAATCTTTTTGTCACCCATCACCTCATTGATTACATCAGCGTCTCCGTCAAATTTGTCAAGATTGGAAAGGTTTGCAATAGTGACTATTATCAAACAAGCTTTAGCATTCTATCCATTTCCATAGACAGCTCCAATACATGAATCATATACCAAGATCCTATTGGGGACAAATGTTGCCTCAATATAATTTGATGTCCAGTGTCAAATATTATAAAACACAAGCAATCAGTCCGGAACAGGACCAGGAATTCCTTGTAGGAATTTCCTAGCTTAAATGGGGTAAATGCACTGTATTTCACAAAGTATAACTGAATAAACAACTCAACAAACTCAACTTGCAAGAATAACTGAATACCATAACTTGAGTAACACAACTGAACTGATAACTGATGATAAATAAGTAAAAAGGAGCTGCTTATATACTACTACAGTAATTATATTTAACCTTCAATAGGTTTCACTTCATAAATCAGAGTAGGAAAGATATTGTGGAGGACGCGCTTTTGAGAGGGGATTACTTCTTACTTCTAGGAATAAGTACAGTGAGACCCCCACATGCGGACGCTTCAACCTGCGGACGATTCGACCTAGGGACACTTATTTTACTATAAAAAAATCACAAAAAAGTCCCGACATGAGGACATTGACTCGACATAGGGACATTTTGCAATAAAATCGAAAATAAATTTCAGGCAAAATTACAAGAAACAGATGTTTCCAACCCTAAAATTGATGTATGAAAAGTTCTTGGGCATTTCTCTCCCCAATTTACCATCTGTTTAGCTAATTTAAAATAATTACCTCCAGCATAGAGGGACTTCCTTCTCTCTTTTTCACTTTAATTTTATTTTTACAGAAAATGCCAACACTTCTATGTACTGTACTGTACAGATGAGGTATCAGTATTCAATTCCCCAAATTTTCATATTGTGTTGAAATAAATTGATTGAATCAGTTTAAATTGGGAGATAATTTTTATTTTCATGGAATTAGGGTGAGTATTTTGTACACGAAACACCAATTAAAAATTATATAATTTAAGTCTAAGGGAAAATGAGACTTGGGGACATTTCGACTTAGGGACACTCTTGATGCACCAATTACGTCCGCATCTCGGGGTCTCACTATAACCTATTAATTTACACAGCGTGCATGCCCAACGGATCCGATTAAAAAAAAAGGATTGACTTCCCCGGTCAACAAAAGAAAGAAGAAGAAAACAAATGCGTTACTCACGTTGACGAGGCTTGGGCGTAAACCCGAGGTCGAGATCGTCCCTCGGCGTCGTGGATCCACGGCTCGGCGACGCCTTCTTACTCGTCGGCGGCCCGTCCGTCTTGGTCGCCTCATGCGACGACGACGACGAAGACGCCGCCGACGACGGCGTCGTTGTCGCCGTCGACGAGGTCGCGGTGCTCACTCGCGTCGTCGTCGGCGGCACCGTCGGCGGCACCGTGCAATTGGCCGGCGACGTGAAAAAGACCTTGTCGCAGCCAGCCAAGTGCCAGTCCTGGCGGAACCGGTCAAAGCCGTCGGAACACCGTTGGGCCTGCGGACACCACATGCACTGGAAGGACACGTTGGCCGTGAGGCAGGACCGACAGTCGGTGAAGGACACGCAGGTCTTGTGGGCCGTGAAGTAGAAGGCCGTGCCGTTGGTCACCATCTCCTCGTGCTTGTCCTTCAGGTCCACTCGGTGGTACTCGTAAATCGTCTTCCTTCTCAAATCTGTATTCATCATTGGGAGAAAAAAGAGGCAAAAAAATCATGCATGATTCTAATAAGGCAACTATAGACTTATATTTAACAAATTGATATCTTTATTTGTGAGAGCTGAATGGAGGGAGAAAGTTCCCGCATCATGCAAGCTGGTCATTTAAATGTTTGGCACATCAATTAATCCAACCCACTTTTGGGTTAATTTATTTTAGTGTCATTGAAATATCAATTATTCAGCCCGACTTGAGCTCATTTTATTCAGTGCATTTTCATTCATTTGTGTCAATAATGTGCTTGTACTGATGCATATATTTTCTGTTGTTACAGAACTCAATCAATTGATCAATCCTTTTTGTTCATTCTCATATTGTTGTCAATCCTTTGTTGCTTGATAAATCTTGTTATGCTCTCATTCTTGCCACTCTTTTTCATTATATCTGAATCTGAATATCACTGTTCTCTAATTCTTTGTGGGTATCTTCTTAAATTAAAGATAAATTAACTGATGTCCCTGGTCCTCCAAAAATATTAATGTCCAACTTTTATACACGGTTCAAACCATAATGTGCGTGAAGAAACAAGCGCCACATTTATTGAATACCGTAAATGCTCCAATAAACGCCCTGTCGTTTGTTTGCAAGTTTCAATTTTATCCCCAGGCGTGTAACAAGATGAGAAGAAAAAGGGAAAATGGGAGAATGAATTGGGGGGGAACTTCGACTTGCCATTGTTCATTAAAAACTGGGACAGGAATGAATGCTTCATAAAATGCTGGAGGAAAAGGAATCCTTTGTTTTACACTCAAGACCAAGGTGTGAAGTCAAAATGTGCAAAGGATTATTACGGTCAAAAAAATTCAGGGAAGCTTTCCATCTGTCACGGAAATTCGCAGGTTACAAATATTACACTAAAAGCGTAGAACGTTAAAAAATTGCCTCGTTATTCACAAACACGGAGAGACGAAGAAACGAACAAATTCAAAAAAAAATTCAATACAACAATACTGTACTTGTAATGTACAAGAAATAAGATTGCTGCGAAAATAACCTTCTTGAAGGTACGAGTTTTAGGATAAGATAATAATGAGGTAATAAAAAGGGGGAGGGGACAAGTCTCAAATAGCAAGAAGTCTTGAAAATGTTCAGTTTCGTTTCCTCAAAGTCCTCCAATCGTCCAAACCTTGAACAATTTTCTGCCTAATTTTGTCCAAGTCTCTTACAATAAATTCAAATGCAGCGTTCATGACTCGCGCGAAGAAAATTCCGACGAGGAGACAGGTTTTACAAAAAGTGCACAAGGACTATTCGAACCTAGTAAGTATTTGAAGAGCCCACTGAGTATTGAAACAGCCCAGTGAGTATTGACTAAACGAGGCAAGTATGAATGTACAAATGTACATCGGAGTAAGTATCGGAAAGGAGAGGAAGCAAAGATGCCCGAAAAAAATACCCAACAGAAGTCCGATAGGAACAATTTTATTGAAGTTGTATTAGGGGTTTCTAAAAAAAAAAAGTGCACAGTAAGGTATACTACAGAAAAGCAAAAACAAAAAACAAAAACAAACATGATACTGTAAAAACCTACCCGCCTTAATAGGCCGAAATCCATTTCAAGTAATATTTCAATAGGAAAAATTTCAGAGAACAACAGCATGTAGAATACGAATCTAAAATTTTGTTCAACACAAATGCGACCTAGAAGTATAGTAACTTGATTATAAACTCAAAACTTTCAAAAAAGTTTGAAGGGTGCAAATATTGCGAAGATTGCACAAAAAAACGTACAACGTGACCTCGTCGAAAAAAAAATAATGCATGATTTTGATACGGCACGAATTCGGCCCGCCCAGGTTTGCAAATAAAATTTTGCACAGTTCCGGCTTGAAATAAAAATTTAATTTATGTGAATAAAAAAAATTTTACATCGCCTCCATGCGTTGTAAGAATTCTTTTTAACATTAGTGTCACTTGAAATCCGGAAAATACAGGAAAAAAGGATTTGCCTCACAAAAAAATAAAAGTAGCCTCTTTGAATTGAAATCAGAAAATTCTTCCCAACTACAATAACATTTCATAAACCGGTCAAAACTCAATCCCTACTCTAGCTTATGTTTTCCATTCCAAAAACATGTAAAACATAGAATCTTCAACAACGACGGTGAAAACTGAAAACTTGAAGTGGACGAGATGTTTGACCTTTCCTTCAGAAAATAAAAAAAAAGAATGAGAAAAAAATGAACGCTTAGAATGAGCAAGAGCAAAAACAAAACAAAAAAGAAAAGGAAAAGACGACAATCGCCACCCATTTCTCGCCGAAAGCTTGAACTTTTCCCACGCGATATTTCGCCTTGGTCGGAAATGACAGCGAATAAGTTCATATCGATCCAACAGAGTCGATTTCTGCACGTGCTTGATTACGGAATGAGGTTCCTTCAAGTGCGAAATAAACTGACCATCGGATTCAGATCCTATGCTTGAACTTGAGCAAACGGGGGAAGAAGGATTACTCATTAATATAATCGAGGATTATCATCTATAAGCTTTCAGAAAAAATATGGAAAAATAAACTTTTGTTTTGCTTCTCGATTGAATTCAATACATATGAAATTTCGAAGAGTCAAACGTCGGGGGGCTGAAAAGCAATAATAAATGTAAATCTAGCTTGCATTCAAAAAATGTTCACGTCAATATCATGCGTTATTCTTATCTTTCAAATTTATGTTCACCGCATTCATTAAAACAATGATACGCAAGTGTAATCGTAATTATTTTCAATAAGCTTTCAGAAAAAAATATGCAAAAATAAGCTTTTTCGTTTTGTTTCTCGATTAAATATTTAATACATTTTAAATTTCGAAGAGTCAAACTTCGTATGTTGAAAAGCTCAAATAAATTTAAATCTAACTTCTATTTTTAAAATGTCATGTCAATATTATGCGTTATTTTTATCTTCCAAAATTACTTTTACCAAATTCATTAAAACAATGATACACAAGTATAATCGTAGATTATTTTCTAAAATTTTTCAGAAAAAAATGCGTTCATAGACTTTTTTGTTGCTTTCTCAATGAAATATTGAATACGCTTGAAATTTCGAAGAGTCAAACGTCGGGTGGTTGAAAAGCTCTTAAGAAATTTAAATTCAACTTCTACTCAAAAAAGTGTCACGTCAATTTCAAGCTTTATTCTTATCTTTCAAAAATGACTTTCGCCACATTCATGAAAGAGTTTAAAGAATCGAAGACGCAAAAACGTCAGAGGTTGAGAAGGTCGACTAAATTCAAGTCGAACTTCTGTTTAAGGACCTTCACGTCATTCTCGTCTTTTAAAATACTGTAATTTTGTCAAATTCATCAATAGCATAAACCTGGAAAAGTTGGCGCTTTCATATTCATATCTAAATAAATCTTCAATACTCTAGATAGTCTAGAAGAAAAGCGTTCCAAAAAAATCTCTCCTCAATAATGTCAGAAGAACGAGACGTTTTGTTACATATTCATTTTTTTCAGTTGTCTTCGAGATAGAAATTCAGAGCACACAATAAATTCGGTTGTGAAGGAAGAAAGTTGTTTCCCATTCTTCCCGAAAATATTTCAATATGCAACTGTGATTCGCTTTTTGATTCTGTCGATTTTCTTGATTCTCAAAATTTAGATACTGTATTCGTAATTAAACCTGCTGTATGATGATTATAAATTTCTGCTTCTAAAGGGACGAACAAGGAAAGAGCAGCGATAAAATTTGGCTTTCGAGGAAATGTCTCAAGAATCGTAGAATTGAATGATTTACGCCAAGAAAAAGTCATTTTTTAAACTTTCTTCGCTGACCCAGATCGCTTTCTTCCTCGAGTGTCAGACCCAGTTCACAACAAATCATCACTATCACAATGACATTCTGCTCCTCGTTTCCGGTTACATAAAAGAAAATACAAAATTTGTGACAACAAGTTTGTAGCTGCAACTTCCGGGAGATAGGGGACCCGTAGGTCGTAAAGAAAAAAAATCAATACAGATACACTTTCAGGAACTCTTGGAATCGTAGAGAAATAAATTAATGCAAACTAAAGCTTTCGTAAAAGCAAGAACTTGTGATTTTCAGTACAGTATTCAAATGAAATGTTGCAAACATCCCCGTAAGTTCGTCTCAACTCTTGCCAATATCTGCCACCTTTTTTCGCCTTTTCGTTTATCAAAGGAATGTAACTTCCGAAACCGCTTATTTTTGGTTCTTTTTCTTCGGCAGATTTTTTTCCATTTCCGTAACTAGGAATTCCATTTAAACACTTTTCAATAATTGACATTTTTGCATAAAAGGGATCCGTCTGCTTTCGAAATTGCTAAAATCCAACTCCCGATTTCCTCACTTGGCTCTTTTCGCGACAAATGTTTATGCACTCTTTGGATTTTGAAATTTTCCTCTGAGGCGCGTACTATTCAAAGTACTGTATTACGTAAGATTGTAATCGTAACTTTTCAGTCTATGATTTGCTGAAGTAATGCATGCTCACATAGGTAGTCTGAAGGCGAGGAATCTTACGAAATTTGCAGATTATCGTGGGAAATCTTGGGGAAATCAATAAAGGAAGCTCATGCAAAACCAAACGCACTCGAGTCATGAAAATTTCAGGGGTATTTCCTAAAGTTATTTTATTGTCCCGGAAATAATGATTCGTGGCAGTACGGAAACTTTTTCTCTCCTTCCATTTTTCCTTGCAATTCATCACCAGAAATTTTTTTTTCAAAAACAAACAGAACAGTTCGCGAACACTTCCATTTTCATTGTTCTTTTTCTAAACTCTCGAATGTAACAGCTTTCAAATAATTTTTGCTCAATCTACGCTCGAACCTGACGGTTGATTGAGTTCGAGAAATTACTGACAAAAAAGTTGGACGACAAAAGAAGAGAAACGTTCATAATCAATTAATGAACGCATTATTTAAAGCATTAATTAAAATTTCCAAAATGATTCCAGATTGAAAACTGCAATGCTTGTTTTCTTGCAATCCAGATTTCGGTTTTGAAAATTGATTTCGAACGACTGGTTTTGCTCTCCCATTAATGATTTCGCAAAACATCCAGATATTTTCGTACGAAACGCGAAGTTTCTTTCGAGCAAAGAGGTTTTTTTCTCTTCATTAAAGCTCTCTCCTATAAACGTCCACAATACTATTGAAAATTGATCCATTCTTTGAAAAGTGAAAGATGCAAAAAATACTTCTTCAAATTTGAATTAAAAGATTGACGGATAATGCATGTATGGAGCATTCGGAAAACTTTTGAAAATACCTTTACATTGCAAAGAATTTCTTATAATTTTTCGATCTACTGTATTTTCTGGGACTCGTTCGCACCTACACACGTAATAAAACATATACGAACAATACCTGCTGCGAATCGCAAGGCAATACTTGCGAAACGACAAGAGAAAATTACCTTCAAAGCCTCACGATTTTCTCTTCAGCAAAAAAATACACTAGAAAATTCCAATCCCAGGTCCCTGCTTTCATTCAATCCTCCCAAACGCCCACTGACTAAAATTATAGAATTTGTTCACGAAAAAAAAAAAAAACAAGCAAAAGTGGGTTGTCGACAAGATATTATCTTTCTAGGACAGCAAAGCATGATTTGGGGGAACTTGAATACAATGAAAACGATGCAACGGAAACGACTGACGAATTTTCGACGAACTAACGAGACGAGGACAACTAATGTGACGGAAAAACAAGTTTGACAACAGAACTAGGTTCTTCATCGTTGAAGTTGAGGACAGAAAAGTAACGATTCAGTACATTCCCATTGACGACATTATTCGTAAGTCTTGCTATACAGTGCAAGACTTAATTCCAGATATTGTAATCGAAAAATCTTTCGAGAAAAAAATGCCCCTTTTGATTAAAAATTAACACCAATTTTTAAATTAAATTTGCTTTCTTAAATTTAAATAGCTCAATTTGGTAATGAGATATTAAAATGTAGAAAAATGAAAATTTTCAATTTCACTTCAAATGTTAGGAAAGTGTCTGTGTCTCGAGACATTGTCCGGATGTTGAGCAATATTTTTTTAGGCGTCCCTAATTTTGCGAATTTAGAAGATTTAAAAGCTAAACGGCAAAACCTAATTCATTTCACCAAATTATTGAAAATTGTCATTGGATGTTCTCTGGGAATTGGGTGCCACCATGATTCTCACTGAAGAGCATTTCCTCTGACCGTAGAGGTCATGAAATTTGTACAGTATCTTGGGGAAAAAACGAGAAATTTCCAGAATTGGCAACTCAATTTTCTTTATCCTAGCTCGAGGTCATCTTGATTGGAACTTTCCAAAATTCTTGAATAGTTTTCCTGAAACCTTTTTTTCTTTTTCTTCTTGTTACTTCATCACTGAACCTTCCAAAATCAAGCATTTGCAAATGCTTGACGCGTTTTGAGACTCGTAAAAATGCAATCTGTGTGTTGTGAAATAATGCTAATAATAATTCCGACTGAGTATTGTAGATTCAACTGTCCATCACTGTACTTATTCTTGGAATTAAAGTGTCAAGTTCGCACTGTATTTTTGCAAGGGGTCGATATTCAACTCGTAATTTTTGAATACAAGTGAGACCCCGAGATGCAGACATAATTGGTGCATCAAGAGTGTCCCCAAGTCAAAATGTCCCTAAGTCGAGTCTTGTTTTCCCATAGACTTACATTATATAATTTTTAATTGGTGTTTTGTGGAAGAAATATTCTTCAGAATTCCCTGAAAAAAATTGTTTGCCACTTGAATTTGAATTAGTGAATACATTTTCAACTCAATAAGAACATTTGGAGCCATTGAATAGTGTATCTTTGTACTTTACACTGAAATTTTGGCATCTACAAAAAGAACATTCAAGTGAAAAAAGTAGAAGTCCCTCTATGCTGGAGGTCATTTTTTAAAATTAGCTAAATGGATGGTAATTTGGTGAGAGAAATGCCCAAGAAATTTTCTTACATACATTTTAAGGTTGGAAATATCTGTTTCTTGTAATTTGGCCTGAAATGTATTTGCAATTCTATCACAAAATGTTCCTAAGTCGAGTCAGTGTCCTCATGTCGGGCCATTTTTATTAATTTTTTTCTGGGAAAATAAGTGTCCCCACGTCGAATTGTCCCCAGGTTGAGGCGTCCGCATGTGGGGGTCTCACCGTAATTCCGATTTCGTTCGAGAAGAGGGTTATTTCCCCACAGACTCACAGAGAATGTCGTGATGGATCGTGTAGGCGTCCGAGATGCCGATCTTGACCGGGTGCGACGCGTTGCTCACTTCAGAGACCTTCGTGGGCAGGGACCCGTAGGCGAAAATAATGTCTCCATTCTCCTTGAGCGAGGCCTGGAAGGAGAACTTGCCAGCGTCCAGTTGGTCCACCAGCATCACGTTGCTCCACTCCACAGTGAACGTGGTGCCGTTGTCGAAAAAGTGGATCACGGAGTCGTTGGCATAGTCCGTTCCGAAGTTGGCCATCAGGGGCGCCACGAATTGCGAGGCGGCGAGCCACGAGTGCAATTGGTCGCCCATGAACAGGAACCCGCCGGTCGTGATCGTGACGGCACGGCGATTCAGCCCGTAGAACGGGAAGTCAAACGTCAACGCAACGTGCTGGTAAAAAGAAGAGAAGAAAAAAATACGGAAATGTGGTTTAAAAAAAAAAAAAGGATTTGAAAATGCAGAAATGTACAGTGGTGATCTCATACAAAAAACGACACACACAGCCCACAAATGCTTTTAAAATAATTTTGGGATTTTGGTTATTGAAATACAGAAAAATCTCGTTACAACAAACTTGTGGGGACTTCAGAAAAAGTTTGTTTCAGTTAACGGATTATTTGTTGTATGAAGATTTTCAAAATTTTTGTCTCGTGGGAAGATTTTCGGAAAAATTAAACCTGCAACAACTTTCAACATATTCCTTTTGTAGCTTTTTCAGATATTTCTCATCATTTTAAGAACTGAAATAATTTTGGGATTTGGATATTGAAATAAAATAAAATCTCGTTGCAACAAACTTGTGGGGACTTCAGAAAAAGTTTGTTTCAGTATAACGGATTATTTGTTATACAGTATCAAGATTTTCAAAATCTTTGACTGGGAAGATTTTCTGAAAATTAAACCTGCAAAAACTTTCAACATATTCCTTTTGTAGCTTTTTCAGATATTTCTCAGCATTTTAAGAACTGAAATAATTTTGGGATTTGGATATTGAAATACAATAAAATCTCGTTGCAACAAACTTGTGGGGACTTCAGAAAAAGTTTGTTTCAGTATAACGGTTTATTTGTTATACAGTACAGTATCAAGAAATTCAAAATCTTTGACTGGGAAGATTTTCTGAAAATTAAACCTGCACACTTTCAACATATTCCTTTTGTAGCTTTTTCAGATATTTCTCAGCATTTTAGGAACTGATATTTTCAAAGAAACAAGCAATTAATCTGAATAACAGGTGTAAACTAGCACTTTTTGTTGAGTAAGGTTTTCTGAGCAATTCCTGAACAACGGTTTATTGAGCAGATTTGCAAAGATGGTTGTTCCAAAAAAGCTTACAATTTTCAAGCATCAGAATTGTTTCTCAAGCATTAGAACCCTTTTCAGCATGAGTTTTGTTGGGCTCATTTCTCCATCTGAGATTTCTGCCTGGACTCAAAAAAAGTTTGTTATACTGAAAAAATTGTTGTAATGGTATTTTTTGTAACAAGATTTTACTGTACTGTACTAAGTGCTCTCGCTGAAAGAAAAAAACGGAAGTTCAGATTTCATAATTCTCATCTTATACAATGAACGAAACAGCCTACAGATGTTTTGAAAATGTTTCCGCATTTTGATTTTGAAATAAAGCGCCATCGCTCACGGAATTCGTCTCCTTTTCGTTCTCGGGGCTTTATTCAATTTTTTTCCGTTTAAATGAAAGAACTGTAAGATTTTTAAACTTCCTGTTCTCGAGGCTAATTTGTTTTGTGCAATCCTTCGGGGCAAAAACTAAATACTCTATGTACTCTCATTGAAAAAAAAAAAAAAGAAAAGTTCCGAATTCAGATTTTTGATCTCTAAAAACGAACGAAGAAGCCCTCAGATGCTTTGTTTCCGGATTTGACTTTCGAAATAATGGACCCTTGTTCAGAAATTTTTTCTCGTTTCAGTTCTCCAGGCTTTCCTCAGTCTTCATTTTAGATGAAAGAGAAATTAAAAAAAAAAGACAAGAGAATTTCGTGAAGTTTCTTCAGTCTAGTTTTCGAGGCTTAATACAAATTTTTTTCTCTTTTCAATCCTGTGAGGCAAAAATTGAAAGATCTCGCTCAAAGAAAACTAGACAGTTTTGAATTCAGCGATGGTTTCATACAAAGAACGCCGCAGCTCAAACATGCTATGAAAAAGTTTCCGGATTAGGCTATAGAAATAATGCGCCATTGTTCCGAAAATGTTTATCCTTTCCCTTCTCGAGGCTTAACTCAATTCTTCTTCTAAATGAAAAACTAGGAAAATTTATAATAAAGATTGGAGAATTTCATGGAGTTTCTTCCTTCTCGGTCTCTAGACTTGATTCATTTTTTCAATTCTCTTGCGCAAAAACTTGATACTCTCGCATGAAGAAAACAGGAAAATTTCCAATTCAGTCTCACACAGCGAACAATTTGATACCCTTGCCGTTATTGATGCCCACTCAATTATTTTCGATTCCTATGCTCAAAAACAAATATTAGCGACACGACTTGAGAGAAAGAATTTATTTTTGCGAGGAAGAAGCGAACCCAGTTTAATGCAATCCTCATTACTGTACACCACTTCCCGAAACGTTTCAGAAATATAAAGAAGTCTCGCTAAACAAGACTCAATGTCCCTCAACAATTTTGAAACATGTACGACCATTTTAATCATTTTTAGAAATCACCAAATCTAATACATGTAACCAGATGCCCACAACAAGTCGAACGACAACGCCAATAAATGGAAGATAAAGAGAGAGAGAGAGAATAGGAACAAATGGAGGAACAAAAGTTACCTCATACAATGAACGGCTTTGAACAGTGAATTCTCAATTCTGTACAGTACTGCAATAAAATCCAATATACCGTATTTTATTTTAACACACGTCGGTCCGGAAATTCAGCAAAATTGTGGGAAACGATGTTGTTAGGCAAGCAAATTATTGATGTAATTGTCTTGATATCTTCTAGAGTTTCACCTACTACTAAAAACCAAATGTCAAGCCCTATGAAGGGCTTATAAAGACTTGTAAAGGTTAAAAATAAATAGTTAAGGTGTTGAATTGCAGAACCAAATCTAAAAATAATTGTTATCCATTACTTAGTTGAGGAAGAGTTTGCCCAGTAGTTGTTGATCTTATTCTTGTGAAATACATCCTTAATAGTTAACCCAGGAATTCCAAGAAGGAATTCTGGCCCCTGTCCCGGGATCATTGCTGCTTTTCATTTATGCACTTACTCTTTCTGATCCAACTTTATACCAAATTATATTGAGGCGACATCTGTCCCAAATATAAATTGGTAGCAGTGTGTGGTTTTGATCCATGGACCTCTGGGTTAACAAAAATATGATGAGAAATCAGAGACAAATTTCGGTCGTGGAGGTAATTATGTCAAAAGAATAGCAACCAAGCACTCTGATTTCAAATACTGTACTGTTTCCATACAAATGAAGAAGCGCATAATTTTGCTTTAACCCATGTAAAAAATTGAATTATGCAAATCCAAATGGCACAAAAATGGTACAGAACCCACCGGTTGAACAAATTATGCAAAAGAGGCATATCTTAGAAAGAAAAAAATACAAGTGGAATCCCTCAAATAGTTCAGAAGAATTGCATTTCACTTATAAAAGGAGAAGATTTATAGTTTTTATACCTTGCTGAGAAGGTTGTCAGGGTTAGGAGACCAATTTTCGAAATTTCTTTGATGCAGATATTTTTTATTGGCGCCTCCGAAACAGATTTGATACATTTCTTCACATTTTCGAAGCTTACTTCAATATTCTTTCATTTTTCCGAAGGAAAATTACACGCGTGAAAAATATACATAGCAACAGAACTCCAGAGTGAATTTAATAGTGTTGTCCTTTGCTGTCTTTACGACTTCCCGACTTTCTTGAACCCGAAGTGTCGCAAACACACAAAAAGGGGACATAAACCACGCAATAAACCATGCACTAAAACAAGAAAGGTTTCGCGACCACAGAAGAAGGAAAGTACAACCAGACTCATTATCACTCACTCGGCAGTTTTCTTTTTCCTTACTACCATTACAGATTAGATTCATACTTCAGAATCAATCGTCTTCCGCGGGATTTTATTACACTGTACAGTACACCATGACAAAAGCCCAGAAAAAATGGGTAATTTCCAAATTGTATACACTGGATTTTCTACGATTGTCAATTCTCCGTTATTTAAAATTCTATGGGAACTTTGAACTGTATGTAGAATATTCAAAAACATAATTTTCGAATAATCCTTTACAACTTTACTAGCATAAGCAGTTAACTGGTAATTGAGTAATTTGAAAAGCTGCTGATTACAATGCAATCAACTGCAATATTGCAAAATTCTTCAATAGATATGATTTCATCGAAAGCACATAAACCGAAGGAAAAATCCCCGTTACGACACATTCAATTAAAAAAGCAAACGATTAAATGCGACGGTGCCTTTCATAATGGTGATCTACAGAGAAAGTGATCTTTGAAAACAATCGATAATAATGTGATTTATCAACAATCATCAGAAATCGATTCCCCCACAAAGAGAATGATACTTAAACCGCAGAAAAGACAGCCGCTAAGGAAAAATACTCTTAACGTGGCACGTTTCTGATTTTCTCAACAACAAAAATATTATTTTTGTACCATTTTCTATAGAAGAACATGCACAAATGTACTTTCATCACACGTTGCGCGAATTATTCACGGGATACATGGACCACAGTGCATAATAAAAAATATAAAATTTCGAAATTGTCTGACATGATACAAAGGGTATGATCATATAATCCGTCACTTCATAGGTAAAAATTTAGCCTCGAGCGGCTCATAAGCGAAGAACTGACGCAACGCAAACAAAATTTGCGTAGGTCTAAAATCGTATTTCTTTACAGATTAACGGGATGTGGAATCGCTCGTTTCAACATAACCAGGAAAAATAAAGATTCTTAGTATTTTTTTTTTATCCTTCCGTTTTCGGGAAGAACCAAAAAATCGTCCTCCATTCCAACGTCATAAGCCATTGCACATCAGTGAAAGCTGGCTGATGACGCAAAATGCATAAGTCACGCTACGATAGGGAGACATCTGCGAAAAAATTTCACCGGGGAAACACGGAACTTCTGACGGCAAAACATATAAACTGATGCTTCTTTCCTAATTTTCCGGATTTCTTCACGGCATAAAATAATTGGAAGAACAAATAATCAATGCATAATTTTGCGAACCATGCCTCGAAATGCGCGAAGAAGTCATAAATTTTCGCAGTACTGATAACAGGCTTTCCCGGGCATGGATTCATGCACAGTATAATATTTTACAATAAGTGAGACCCCGAGATGCGGACGTAATTGGTGCATCAAGAGTGTCTCCAAGTCAACATGTCCCTAAGTCGAGTCTTTTTTTCCATAGAGTTACATTATATGATTTTTAATTGGTGTTTGTGGAGGAAATATTCTTCAGAATTCCCTGAAAAAAATTGTTTGCCACATGAATTTGAATCAGTGAATACATTTTCAACTCAATAAGAACATTAGGAGCATTGAATAGTGTATCTCTGTACTGTACACTGACATTTTGGCATCTACAAAAATAAAATTCAAGTGGAAAAAAAGTAGAAGTCCCTCTATGCTGGAGGTAATTTTTTTAATTAGCTAAATGTATGATAATTTGGTGAGATAAATGCCCAAGAACTTTTCTTACATACATTTTAAGGTTGGAAATATCTTTTCCTTGTAATTTTGCCTGAAATGCATTTGCAATTTTATCACAAAATGTCCCTATGTCGAGTCAGTGTCCTCATGTCGGGCCTTATTTATAGATTTTTTTCTGGGAAAATAAGTGTTCCCATGTCGAATTGTCCGCAGGTCGAGGCGTCCGCATGTCGAGGTCTCACTGTACTTATTTTGTGATTTACTGTACTGTACTTTGACCAACCGGTTTCGTGAATGTTGACGAAATCATTTCGAATGAGTTATCTGGTTGGGCTCGTTTAAACTTTTGGTTCTCCGTTCTCCAACTTAAAATGAGACACATGAATCCATCTTTCTTTACCCGCTACCAATATATAACATTTCAGCATGCAAATTTTTGCACAAACCAGGGAATCAAGTGGACTTCCAGGTTTGTTTGTTTGTTTTTGCCCACAGAAGAAATTAAGAAAAATTTACAGCTAAAAAGATATCATCCTAAATTACATATTTTTTCCGCAAAATGTCCCCAGAAGAAGGAGTGAAAATTGGGGTGCGTGTCTTACTCGATACTCGAGTGCGCGGGTTACCGGACAACTTGCACAGTTTTTTTTTTCAGCAAAACTTTTGTTGTTTCAAATTTAGCTTCAGGGAAATATGAATACTTCGTTGAATATAGATTCTCTTTTGTCCCACATGAATTATATGCATTTTCAATTTTATTACCCCTCAAATGGGCCGCACCGGCGCTTTAATCAGCAATTTGAATGGGGCTAGGCCTCCATAGGCCGCAAAGAAAAATGCGGGTTTGCCTATAATAATTTACATAAACACAAATACTGTACTGTATTAAGAAAAACATCGCCTTTTTGCGGCAGCCCTTTTTCAGTCAGTCGGTCGGTCGGTATCTTGACCTTTAATTGTTGTTTGGAGAGTTGAATTTTTGGTCGGTTTTCCAATTCGTTGGAAAGTTATATAATACACAACAATATTAAAGCTCAGGTAGGCCGCATCCGCTTTTTCAGTAGAAATGTGAAGGGACTGGGCCTGCATACGCCGCAAATGTAATAGTTTTTTGTTTGTACCGCAAATGAGTTGTATAAATTTGTATAGTTGTATAAATTCACCAAAAAAATGCAATGCTCCGAACAGCAAATACAGGTCAAGAGACCGACCGACTGACTGAAAAAGGGAAGTCGCAAAACAGGCGAATTTTTGTTTATAATTTGTCATTCTAATTGTTTTTAATTGCATAGGAAATCCTCACATTCTTCTTTGCGCCCTACGCAGGCGCAACCCCTACAAATAATTGCTGAAAATAACGGTGCGGCCCAATTCCAGCTTCGATATTGACCTGCATTTAAATTTTCCTCAAATTCAGAAAACCAAAACTGTTTCTGTCCAGCAATTAAAGGTCAAGAGACTGATTGAAAAGGGGGCGTCGCAAGAGACTCAAAAAATAAAAATAAAAATTTAAAAAAACATACCGAGGCCTTCCGGTGGCTGTTGATCAACTCCGTCTTGGTCTGCACGGCCCCAGGCTTGAGGGACTTGAAGTCGACCCAGTAACCCTTGCCCTCGGCCGGCGGCAGTACCTTGAGCGTGTAGTACTTAAAGTACTCCTCAGACACCGTGGTACCGGCCTTGAACGTGTCGTTGCCGACCACGAGGTCCGAGTCCAGCGTCGTGTTCTTCAACATCTCCTTTTGCAAATTCATCCGCAACGTCTTCTCCAGGATTTTGCACAAGTAGTCATTGTGGAGTTGGCACTTCCATTCCGGCGACAGCGTCGGCAATACTGGCGTCGTTGTGGCGTCCGTCGTCGCGTTCAAGGCACTCTTGGTGGTGTCCAGCAAACGGGATTTCACGCTCGTCGTCTCGTTCACTGCGAACAACAGAACCAAAAACTCAAATTATTATTTTCTCGCAAAACTGAATCGGGAGTTCCATCTTTTTCCGTTTGCGTCCTTCATTTAATTACCGTTTTAACCCAAGTAACACGCTCTTCACCTGATTTTCTCATCAAAAAATTGGGGAAGAAGACCCACAACCTAGTTAGACGCGCACCCCATTATTAGTGACATAAATGTTGAAAATTTTCAGGAATGAAACATGATCATAATTTTAATTTCGACCGGAATCGAACCGAAATTGAGAGTGAGACCCGGAGATGCGGACATAATTGGTGCATCAAGAGTGTCCCCAAGTCAAAATGTCCCTAAGCCAAGTCTTGTTTTCCCATAGACTTACATATATACTTTTTAATTGGTATTTTGTGGAAGAAATATTCTTCAGAATTCCCTGAAAAAAATTGTTTGTCACTTGAATTTGAATTGGTGAATACATTTTCAATTCAATAAGAACATTTGGAGCATTGAATAGGGTATCTCTGTACTGTACACTGAAATTTTGGCATCTACAAAAGTAACATTCAAGTGAAAAAGAGTAGAAGTCCCTCTATGCTGGAGATAATTTTTTTTAAATTAGCTAAATGGATGGAAAATTGGTGAGATAAATGCCCAAGAACTTTTCTTACATCAATTTTAGGGTTGGAAAATCTGTTTCTTGTAATTTGGCCTGAAATGTATTTGCAATTCTATCACAAAATGTCCCTATGTCGAGTCAGTGTCCTCATGTCAGGCCTTATTTATTGATTTGTTCTGGGAAAATAAGTGTCCCTATGTTGAATTGTCCGCAGGTCGAGGGGTCCGCATGTAGGGGTCTCATTGTAAATTGAAAAATTTTCCATACAAAATTATCCATCAAAAGCGGTCTAAATTTCACACTACAGCACAGTAAAATCAGGCATAACGCGCACCTGAACTTTTAACCTTTTCAAATTACTTTTTCAAAATTGTATACGCAACCTCATTTCTCTCTCATAATTTTGAAAAACCGGTGCGCGTGGCACTCGTGTTAAAACGGCATTCTAAAATCCACCAAGATTTCTTTGAAATAACGGAATTCAGACGTCTGAACTACTGTATTCCTAAAACAATAATCAGGGACTTGAATAATTTTAAATAAATTCCTGCTTAGCAAAAGGGAAAAACTGTCAGCGCTCAAGACATACACCTGTGACTTGTGCAAATTGAAACTTTGAAACCAGGCGACCGAAGCATTTCTTCTGCAATTTTTAAAATATAAAATTTTTGAAATTTCAAATAGTCATGCGTTCTTTTACGCTAAAAATCGATCGACAGAAAAAAAAACACGCGAATTTCTGGTAGGTTCGAATTCCTTCACCCGCCACAAGTTTCGTCGAAAACAAAGTTTTATATGAGACACACATTCCCTGTGCTTAGTTTTCTTGGGGGTTTTCCTTCATTCTTTTCGAGTTCAAAAGACAAACGTAAATTTAAATGGATGCTGAAAGTCAGATGGATCGAATATTATTCAAGAAAAACGGATACAGGGGTCTTTAAGATTAAATGAATGAACTATGGGCGTTATTTTGATATTTACAGATAGATAAATCGAGGACTTTATCTCATGAAAGTCGTGGAATTCTCAACGATTACTTGTATTTCAGTGCAGTAGAAAAAAATGTACTATAAATTGAAGTGATTCCATCAATAATAAAGCACAAAGAAGTGATATCATATTCACAAAAAAATTCCGGGAATTCTGGATCAATCAGATTATTTTTTTCCATCGCACCCGTTCGCAAGAAAGTCTCTTCATTAGCACCGTGTCACGAATTCGACACGTAAATAAAACATGCGTAACCACGATCCATCACGTGTTCACGTGGTGAAAAACAATCATGAACAACAGAGGCACCAAAAAAAAATATTTGTAACACATTCTCCTGCATATCGCCTGAAACTTCCTCATACTCAATCTCCTTTTCGGAGAAATGTGCTCTGCTGAATTCCAACGTTTTTCTCAAATATTTATTCCACTCTGAAAATCAGGAAAATTACTGCTTCGGTTCAAACGAGAATTACGTCAAGCTTGAAATCCCTTTCCGATTTCACAAAAAAATTTTGAAAGTTCGCCGTTGGGAGTTGCAACATTAATTTCATGTCGGTAGTTATGTTGAAATTTCACACTTGATTTTATAAGATTAAATATTAGAGTCAATATCGAAAGTCCGTTACAATTTCAGAAAGAAAAAAACGAGCTGAAAGGGTTTGTTGTTGAGGGGTTCGCATTAACCCAAATCGTATTGAGGTTAGTTTCAATCGAAAACTTGAGAGATCGGAAAGACAATTTAAAAAAGATTTCATAAGTTTCGCCAAAGAAAGTTCTTCATTTGTTCTACTTAATCACCGTTACAGTTACCATGATTATTTCTCACTCGAAAAGTTTCAACGAAAATTCGGCCAAAAGTTCACGCCTGGAAAATTATTAGGCAAGATCGAAAATCATTTTTGAAATCTCCCCGATCATTCCACTCTTTCATCATTTCCAAGTAAAGAAAAACCGAAAAAATTAACGATCACAATTTTACAAACATCCCTTAATTTCTGGGAAAATGGCTTTCAGAAAATAAATGCATGAAATTTGCGAACGCATAGTCCTTCAAATCGCCCGAGTTCATCCACTCGGAGAGATCGTTCAATTCATATTACTATATTTCAAGGCTATCTGCCAATACTGAGAAAATTCTTTTGAAAGAGTGAAATTATTTTTTTTTGAAACAAAACCGAAAAAATTAAGGATCACAATTTTACAAACATCCCTTAATTTCTGGGAAAATGGCTTTTAGAAAATAAATGCATGAAATTTGCGAACGCATAGTCCTTCAAATCGCCCGAGTTCATTCCACTCGGAGCGATCATTCAGTTCATATTATTTGAAGGCTATCTGTCAATACTGAGAAAAGTCTTTTGAAAGCGTAAAACATATTTTTTTCAACAAAACCGAAAAAATAAGGATTACAATTTCACAAGCATCCCATAATTTCTGGGAAAACGGCTTTTAGAAAATAAATGCATGAAATTTGCGAACGCATAGTCCTTCAAATCTCCCGAGTTCATTCCACTCGGAGAGATCATTCAGTTCATATTATTTGAAGGCTATCTGTCAATACTGAGAAAAGTCTTTTGAAAGCGTAAAAAATATTTTTTTAATTTTCAACAAAACCGAAAAAATTAAGGATACAATTTCGCAAGCATCCCATAATTTCTGGAAAAATGGCTTTAGAAAAGAAAGTCATGAAATTAGCGAACGCATAATCCTTCAAATTTTTCCCGAGATTATTCCACTCGGAGAGAGCGTTCAGTTCATATTATTTGAAGGCTATCTGCCAATACTGAGAAAAGTCTTTCGAAAGCGTAGAAACTTCCGCTATAAAACTCTCTTTAGAATTTTTAAGATTTGATTCAAGCAACGTCTGAAATGAAAAAAATTGAAACTCTTCAAATTTCGGAAAATAATTTTAGAGCTTTCGCTGCCGCAACTTTCGTATTCATTCCCGTCTTCGAAAAAACTGAAGGTGATTTTCTTTTGGAACAAAAATGGAAGTGCAAAAATTGTGAAATTTCGACAAATCTGAAAATTTTTGTTCGAGGTTCCGTGGTGAGTGTGCATCAGGAAGCTCATATAAATGGTGCGCTGAAAGCTTTCGCTCTCCCCGAATGAGAACCCCATCCGATAAAAAAGATCGAGCCGTGCACACCTACGTGAGAATTTCGTCACAAAGCTTTTCGACACAGTGTTTTTTCAGAAGCAATAAACGACGACGGGTGTGCAAATTTTCCTGATTCTGGAATCACGAGAAATCCTCCATTCAAAAAAAAATGTCCGACCTTCAGACGCACAGGAATAAAAATATACGTATTTAAAAAAAATATATGACGATTCTTTTGAAAGGAAGTGCAGTTTGATCATTCTGACAGATGACGAAATGTTTGGTCAATCAGTCAATTTTTTTCACCAACAGATGATCTTCCTCATCTGTTGGTGTATTTCTGTCACGAATTTTCCTTGGGAACGGATATTTCCGGGTTAATTCGACACCTGATAAATTTCGCTTTCACACTAAATTGCTAAAAATTGCATATCTTGATGAAATAGTGAAATTGCCTCACACTCCCCTGCTATAATCCTTCTCAATATTTATCAAAAACTCGAAAATAAATTTCACTTTCCGGAAGGTATTATATTGTGTCTAGAATATTAAGAGTTTGAAAACTTCCTCAAACTTTGTGCTTTTCTTCTTTTTATCATTTCGAGCACATCGAAACTTGCTACAGTAAAAAAAAAAAAAAAAAAAAAAAAAAAAAAAAAAGCTTAATTCAGGCAATCAAAAAATACAAAAAAAAAAAAAAAAAAAAAAAAAAAAAAAAAAAACGTAGATGCTTAATTCAGGCAATCAAGAATTACATATGCCCAATATTCAAATCACGCTAAACAGCAAAATATGCATTCATAAAATGATGAAAGGATACAATTTATCAAACTACCGGGCACTTACATGCATAAATGTGCAGGATTTACTTGAAGTTGGAAAATAAAATACGTCAAGTCAAAAGAATGCATTTGTAGCAAATTTTAGTCAGACGTTTCAAAGAACTGAGTAATTTTTCATGTTAGTCTTCCCAGTAAACGTAATCTCTCAAAGAGAGAGAGAGCGCTCAACCCTCAGTACCATGCAGTTCTACAAGTAATCAGCAACATTGCAAATCGAAAACACTTGTGAAAATATATAAACTTTAGAATAGGGTGTTCTCAAGCACCCCAGTTGCAGCCCAACCAAATGCTGGTACCCTTTATTTCAACTTAATTTACAAAGGAGATCTTGTTCTCCACAACACCATTTCTCAATTATGCCAAATTTAATCTTCAACAATTGTATGCGGAGTACAACTGAAGTCTAGGGTATTCAAAAAGTTAGTGAAATACAAGCATTTAAAATCTGCATTCAATGCAGTAATTA